CTGGTCTTTCTGGCTTACGGTAATTTCCAGCAAGTTTCTTTGTTGTATTATACAGTTGTCTCATGTTTCCCTCTCTTGCAGCCTTTTCCACTGACATCGCTAAATCTTCCACATATTTACGTTTGTCGGTTCTGATGCTCCTCTTCACTTGCTTGTTTGCCTCTGTGTATTCGGCTTGTGCCTTGGCTTTTTCCGCTCTTGTTCGGCTGATATTGATTGCTGCCTTCTTGTTCCTCCTTTCTTCGATTTTATCCAGTGTACCAACAGTGATCCATCCCTTGTGATGGTGCTTCTTTTGGCCCAGAACCTCCTGACATGTTGAAACGATTGCCTCCTTGATACCTTTCCAGTTGCTCTCCATGGTAGTTCCCTCTCCATTGAGTAGATCATGAAAAGCCTGGAACCTGTCGCTGAGGGCTATGTTGAATTTGTTGAGTTTGTCAGCATCTCGAAGAAAGGCCGTGTTGAACTTTTGTGATGTTGTCCGCACCGTTGTCCAGTGCTTCTCGAGTTTTAGTTTCATCTTGGCGACCAGCAAATGATGATCGGATGCTATATCAGCTCCTCTTCTGGTTCTCACATCCTCCATCGTCCTCCTGAACTTTTTGTTGATGCAGATATGGTCGATTTGATTCTGTGTAGTGAGATCCGGTGAAATCCAAGTGGCTTTGTGTATGTTTTTGTGTGGGAATATGGTGCCACCTATGACCAGTTTATTGAAGGCACATAGGTTTGCAAATCTCTCACCATTTTCGTACCTTTCTCACAGTCCATGTTGTCCCATGACGTCTTCGTATCCAGTGTTGTCCTTTCCAACCTTGGCATTGAGATCTCCCATCAGAATGGTCAGGTCCTTGGTTGGGCACTTCTCGAAGATCGACTGCAGCCTATCGTAGAATTGGTCTTTAGCGTCTCCATCGTAGTCGTTGGTCGGCGCATAGCATTGGATGACGTTCATTGTAATGCCCTCTCTCTTTGTTTTGAAGGAAGTTTTGATGATCCTTGGTACATGAGATTCCCATCCTATAAGTGCATTTTGTGCTTTTCTGGACAGCATCAATGCAACTCCTTGTGTATGTGGGGCATTTTCTTCTTCATGACCGGAGTAAAACAGAAGTTCTCCTGAAGACAGTCGTTGTTGTCCAACCTGTGTCCAATGCGTTTCACTTCTTCCAAGCACCTCCAGGTTGTATTTTCTCATTTCTGCAGCAATTTGGAAGACTCTTCCGGTTTCCCACATTGTCCAGACATTCCATGTACCTATAAAAGACTTTCGAATGAACTCGGCTTTTATCATGAGACGTCATAATTATTCCTTCTACTCCCAGGGCAGAGTTATAATGGTTTGAATGATTTTTCCTGGTTAGCGTTTTTTTAGCGAGTTGATTTTCTACGGGATGGGGTGGCTAACCCCATGCCCAACCCTCCTCCTTTACAAGGGCTTGGGACCGGCAGTAAGCCATAGGACATATAGAACAGTAACATAGAACTAACCGACTGATATTATAGATAAGAGTTTTATGCAAAAATCATATAAGATTATAACAGAAATTACTGTACGTACCTAAGTTATTACACGTTTAGTTTAAATACTAATTATTTCAAGATATCCTTAATAATAAGATAATGACAAGGATTTTCTCTCCAATCTCCTTCTTAACAAAAGAAGTAAACTGATACAATAAGGCTGAATAGCTATTCACTGAGGTGAACAATTCTGTGTACACAACATATGAAGGCGTGTTGTGTACATATGCAGTAAAATCAAGTGTAATTTAAGTAAGATCATGAATTAATGGGATCATTCAAACAAAACTTTACACTAAATAGTTGAAATGTGAATAATACATATAAATGTCAAGTGAATCCAGTGATTATCTATCAGCAACTTTTTATTTTATCCCAGACAACTAGTTCAATTCATTTATGGTCTGACACACAAGTTAGTTTTAGTATTGAATTGAAGGCATTAGAAGATATGCAGTGACTTGAACATGAATAAACAGTATTTTTCTGATGGTAAAAATTTAGTCTTACAGCCTATAAATACAAATAATTACTTTATACAAGTTCTACCATACTTAGTTTAAAACTATCAGTTTCTTTTATATAAAATGAAGCTATTTGAACAAGGTTCACCTCAATAATAGTATTTGTATTTTGTTGGTTTTCTAAATCCATCGTGATGGTATCTTACCATATTATAAATAACCTGTGAAAATGTAATTTATTTTAAATAAATCATAGCGTGGTACTGTTTACTTGAAAGACCATATGATTAAACAAAATTCAACAAAACACAAATGTAAAATAAATACAACAAAACAATGATAGCACTTCAATTTGTATGAACTAAAATAACCGATAATCACTGGCATAGTGTTGTCTAGATCTTATCGGTAACTGAATTCTGTTGATCAATTTGTTGTCTAGGGATTTTAATGCATTATATATTTTGAAGGAGAATTTTAGTCAACAGCGAAGAGTATACAGTAGGATATTTGTTTAATATCCAGTTACTGAATAATATACAATCTCAATGACGGTTAATCAATTTCCGAATAATCTATGGATAAGATTGTGCTGTAAACATTGAGAGGCAATTGTTTGGATTAGTGACAGCTAAATATATTTCTTTTTTGATCAGTGCTATAAAATAGGAGACAAGAGTGTATGAAAAGTTTCTTTCGCGTTGCCACCAATAACTCAGGTATTAACATATACAATTTATTCGAAGCACAGTTGAATCTATTTGTTTTGATCGGGTTTTGAATATGTACAAATTGTGCCGATTTCTCCACTCTAAATGACTCAATAATCCGAGTAGTTCCGCGTTAAGTACCTCAAATACTATTGGTTAATGACGAAGTGAGAGTAAAATATGATTGATCGTTGAGCGGAGACAAATAAATAGCCTACTGACCGTATAGATGAGATTTCCTTTCCTCTCATCGATTTTTACTCTGGACTAGCTGAGAGTGAGTGACTGCTTGTAACTGTATTGAATAAAGTATCATCTAGTCTATACTCTGGTTCCCTATCATGGGTCGTATATCCTCGATCTGATATAACGTGACTAATCTTATAATAGTATTACCGTAGTATACCTGAGAGAGTATATTTTTAACCAACCGTTGCATCAGAGATATTTACAAAATTGTTATGTAAATGAAAATTACGCAACTAATTTTTCTATTGAGTAACAAATAGTAACCACTTACTATTTTTTTTAGTAGAGTTGAGTAGTTTAGTAATTTGGCATATATTTGTGCATTTCGCTTTGTAAAGGTGAACAGAAATAATAACCTACTTAAACCGATTGTGGTGATGATTTCGACCTAGTGATTGTTGGGAAGTAGGATAATTAAACCAGAATAGGTACAAGACATAATAATGGCTTATTAGAAGTTGTGGAAAATAACTGAAAGTGATTAGAAAGGAAAAAAGACGAGAGATTATAGAGGATAAAACGAGAAGTTAAGACTATGATAGAATGAGGGGTTGGACGTATCTTTTTCGTACACAAATGTTACGCTTAGATTAGTGGATATTTCAGGCATCTGCTGTACAGAAGCTTTTAACTTGTATTCTTCCTTAACCAAACGAAAAGTGAGAACTTCTGGCTTAAACGGTTACTAATCAAATGCAGAGTGGAGAAAGCAATACGAAATCCAGCCGAATAGAACGTTTTTCTGAGAGATCTTGAAAATTTATTATTTTTATAGAATTTCTGCTTGCACATGTCCTTTAAACTGAATGTTCAAATAGAGGATCTTCAATATTGCTATAGACAATTTTTACGTTGTTTTGGCTTCAGATTTTTCTCATTAAATCTAATCTAGATGGTTTTCAATTGTTGGTCAGTACCTGCCGTAGTTTGTCAAGTTTGATGTTGATAGTATCATTGCTACTTATTCATCTAACCCTCATGAGCACAAAATGGAGCAAGTTTCGTATTTGTGTAAAGAACAGGCTTCCGATTCAGGTCAAATTAGTATAGATGTATCAGTTTAATCGTTCAAGTGGAGCAGGTCATATAGGCCACACAAAGCGAAAACTTTCAAAGCACATCTCTGAACATTACTCTGACCGACTGTCTAAAGGACTATAAAGCTCTATCCTAGAACACTTATTTAATGCTGGTCATTCAGATTTACCAAAATTAATCATACAGTCAGAAGAACTGGTTCAGAAGTAATACAAATTAAAAGCTTCTGTACAACAGAGGCCTGAAATATCCACTAATCCAAGCGTAATCTTTGTGTACTAAAAGGTACATCCTACCCCTCATTTTGTTAGACTACTAATTTTAAAAAATTAATTAACTATACAGTTTGTGTAATACAAAATCAAGTCACGTTTGTTCCAGGCACTAAAGCTGATTACGACTGGCCTGACTAATATTACTTTAATTAGAGCATTAAAAATATATAAACTTGTTAATTAATCATATAAGTTTATTTATGATTCAATTTCAATTGTTATTGCAATGAAATTCCTAACAAAGATAAATATAATAATAAGAGATCAGTTTATATGTCAAATAATGTATATGTATATTATTCACATAAAGATTGCCGACTAGAATAAACAATTAATAAATGATGAGAATGTTCATGATTGAAATGCGCATTGACTACTGGAACGAAGTAAAACGCCCAAAAATATAATGTATTTCATTTAGGTGTGAGGCATAAGAAGAAAACATAATGTTTTACTTTTTCATTATAATAGCTAAAGTATATATCGTTTTGACAAGAAATAAGGACAATAAAGAAAAAATGAATATGATTCAGTATGAAGCAAAATAGTGTTGGGTTCGAACTGAGACAATAAATAACAAACATATGATTTGGATTTTTTTTTAAAAATAAGAAAAAGAACAAAGTTGACCAAGTTAAAACGAGTAAGAGAAAAAAAATATTTGTTTAGGGTAAGTATTGATCGAAAAAGAAATGCATAATCATTTGACCTAATAGTAATTAATGTTTATCATATTTTCAAATTGGAGGGAGATAAAGTAAATGACGCATTTTCGATAACACTGATAATGAACCGGTCATGAAAGCTTTATCAGATTTTATTGCGTTTAATACATCTAAACGACCTTCTACCACATCGGTTAAATCGTCAATATGTATGAAAAGTGTAACATTTGCTGGTTGTTTATCAACTGGTAGACAACCTGAACCAACAGTTCCTGTTTAAAACAATAGATTATTTCAAGAAAAAGAGAAAGGAAGTTAACAAAACGAGAATATAACAAAGAAATATTTATGACGAAATAACTTAAGATGATATTTGTAAGATTATCCGCAATCTGTTCAGTGAATATGCGAATTCAGATCATAAAAAGACTATTTTTTTTACAAAATTTCGGCCGACAATAATTCTACTTATTTGTATTGGTTGTCTAAATCCTCACATTATGCAATTTACGAGTGCAATTGACCAGTCTTTTATTGGCATATTCACATATTGTGTGGATTGCCTCGATATTGCCATTAATTCACACGCATTACAATTTTATTATCTTTCAATTATTTCCTGCTTGTAGCAATTGTACTACCTGCGTTTTCATTGTACAAAACATGTCAGACATCTTATATTTAAGCTGCTTCATTGCTTGATGTTTGTATCCGCGTTATTATACTGGGTTTTGAGAACAACGTGAAGTCGCAAAGGGCTATAACGTAGTCTAGTATAGGTCTAAGGCGATGGGAGATTGACTACATTTACACACAGCCTCATAGTAAAGTAGAGAATGTCACTGAGTAGACCACAGGAACCATTTGCTGTATTTTTTTTTACCAGTGTAAAATAAAACATTTTTTCAAATTATTCGTCAATATGGATGGTGGTTATTAGTGTAATCCAGGTAGCAAAGGACGCACATATGCTGAAAAGAGAATGACTAATTGAAGTTCTAAACATCAGTAGAAAGATTCAAACAATCAATACAAATGAATTATTCATTATTAAGTTGGGTGGATAAGTGACTATTAATTAATGAAAAAAGATTATCCTTGAAGGCAGCAAACTTCATTTATCACCTTAAAAATGTAAAGAATTCCATAGAGAAAGTCTCCGACTGGAAGACATTTAATAACTTAGCTTACCAGGAATTGAATTGGTAGCTTAACGGTTAGGGAGTTCAACTTTCACAGATTTGAGTTCAGCTCCGATTACATCGGTTTGGATAGAGCGGTTGTATCGCTAACCAGCCAAGAACACAAGAATCAGTAGTTGACAAATGAGTTACATCAATACCGATAAGTTGAAAGTAATTTCATTTTAGAAAATAAATATGTATCAACGTCTAGTTAAAAAGATGATTTGAGCTGTTATTTTCTGATTCAAAAGAGAAAAGCACTTTTTTGACTGGTTAATTTAAATACATCATTAGGTTTATATTCCTTTTTAATACACCTCATTCGATTATTGCAAAGTGGAAAGAAAATTGGGAGGGAACATGGTAAAAACGAATAACTTGAACAGAAAAGGTACTCTAGTGGAAACACTAAAGTTCACACAGAATTTAAGTAAGACTTTTCTAGTATTTTCCCGATTCTCTAAATAGCTCTGATTCGTTGAAAATAGATGAGTTAACATATCCCGTTTTGAGTCTTACCAGAGCACAAAACGCTAGGGTCCTATCCTGTTAACGTACAACTGGTACTGTATAGTTCCACTACTTGCTTTAAGTTTAAACACAAAATTCTTACTAACTACATTTTTACCCAAGTCACACATTTTATGTTTAGGTAAACAATAACAACTCAAAATACATAATTGCAAATCATGACCGAAATCACTTGCATAAAAAAAAGAATAAACAGAAACATACCAGTACTAGCATCCAAATAAAGTAGAATAAAATTTTGATTTTCCACTGAATTCAATGATGGTAAATGATCTTTGACAAATTTATTCTCCATTGATATAACTAATTGTAATGATGAACATTCAAGAGCTTGACAAGCAATATCACTATTAAGCAGACCTTGAGCACGTGTTATTGCTTTCGACAAAGCAGGGTAATTATGTGAAATACGTAATTGTGACAGAGTATTTAACGACTTAAAACTATACTGTTTTTGTACTTTATTTATTAGTGGTGTAGTTTCAACCGAACTAGATTCATTAGTTATTGTTGTTATTTTTGGGTCTGGTATTATGTTGGTGGTATCACATGACAATGAGGTTGATTTAGTTTGTTCGGAACCACTAGACAAATTGATTATTTGTTGTTCTACTGTGGATTGACTAGTAGGTGGTTTTATTAGCGGTTTATCTCCTCGACTATTCAGCAATACACATGATAATTGATGCAAATGTTTAGTAACCAGTTCAATATTTGACTTGGAATTATGAGATGGTGGCGGACGGAGTAGAACTAAACCATCACTGAAAACAATGAATAATAGTAGAAATCAAAGTATAAAACAGAAGACCGTTATTTTAAATAAGTAATAAGAATTGTTTACTAAAAAATAATTTAGTGATCTGTAATATTGTTTAAGAAAAAAACCAATCAAAAAAACATTAGAATACAAACAAGTAAATAGGACTGATGAGTGGTTGGTAGATACTGCTGAGTCTCGTGGTTTACATCATGAACTAATCATAGTTTTAAAAAGACCATTGAAAACTAAGAAGCACATGGATCCTCACAAGTAGGCACTGATGACATTGCCAAGAATTGCATTCCGGACTTAAGTGTCACAGTCAGTACTTACTCCTTAGATTACTGACTTAGGATTTAATGATTTTTATATCTCCAATTTTAATCAATTCGAAGTGCCAAGCAACTAACTTCCAATACCATTGGTGGGTAACTGCATCCAACAGAATTAAACTCCGCTGGTTTGATTTATAACTAGAACTACATGAAAGACCTTCCAAAAGAACCACTAGTAATATATCACGATCATGCGTAATATATTGTACAATCACTTAAAAGAGGTGATTTGCTGAGTTTTTATTATTAGTATCGTTGAAGTTGTGTGAAGCAAAGAAAAATTTAACTTTTTTTCGGGGGTGAGGTGGGGTAGAAATCCAGTTCAAATATTTTGACAATTAATTTACAACTTTTGTGTCTATTTGACATAGTTCGTTCAGAACATTTTAAAATATTTTCTAAAAAATCCAAAGTTAAGAAAATACCTAACATAATAATGTATGGCTATCTGGATGAAAATACGTACATTTGTGAAACATTTTTCAAGCTTTTACAATAAACATGATGTGAACTCAAGTCAACACATTTAGCTGAATCTGAAAAGTCAAACCTGTTTTCAGGAGACAAATGTGATAAATTAGACTAGTCAGAAATCATCCAGATGATACGTGCACATGATTGACCAAGAAACGAATGAAACATACACAATGGTAGTTGAAGTCTCTCTCTTTATATATATATATATATATATATATATATATATATATATATATATATATATATATATATAATACATAAAAGACTATTATGAATATTCCGTCTCATGGTTTTAATAAGAATAATGTAGAGCAAATGGTAAAATTAGATACATGTGCACACAAAAAACTCACATAGTAACTTCTTTCACATGAATACCATATGGGCCACAACGAGAATTTAATGTGCCCTAGTAACAGTGATCATAAATAAATAAATTGGATAACCAACAATTACTAGTCATCAAATATGTTTAATAAGGAATTTAGAAATTTAATATATCAACATTTTAATTATCTTTTAAGTTATTGTAACTGTACTGTAAAAAGAAACATAATGAACTAAAATTCGTGGACAGGGGTTTATCAGTTGAAGTGTTTAATACATTTCGAGTCCAGCTCCATGTAATTTGGTTTTGATAGACAGGTATTATGGTTAGTTTACGCATAAACAGCATAACTTAAGACTGAATACATGAAACATATACGTGATAAATGAATGGAATTAGTTATTTATTGATTTAAAAAGATGATACGAAAAATAGGGGAGTAACATAATGATTAGTGTAAGGGGATTGTGGATATTATTGGATCGTGTCGGTTGCATTAAGAACAAACCATAATTGGACCATAGCAAATCTTCTACAATCAATTTCAATTATGAATTCATTCAGTATTGTTTGTTTGAATCTTCCCATCGATTTGTTAGGACTGCAACTGATCAGTCTCTAATTGGCATATGTGCATACTGTGCGTATTGCCTCAATATAGCCTTAATTCACAAGCATGGTAAGCAGAGATGGATAGTGGCTAGCAGTGGAATCCAGGACGCGCGTTTCGTCCTATCTGAGACTCGTCAGCTGGATGTACCTGCATCTCAGAGTTGATGTTCACTCTAGGACACGAATCAATTATGGTTAACTTTCGTTAAGCCCTTTTTATTTAACTTACCTAACAGACAATTTTGTTCGAACAGTAACAACTCGTTTATTTCTTTGTACTATTATGATCACTATCTTGTGTGTATAAACGTGTAGCTTGATCACATGATAGCCTACGCACATATCTCTTACTGGCTTAAATGTTGATAGCATAGACATCACTCGATGAATCATTTTTTTCCATATATATACTGTAATCCTATTGTTAGACTTTGCCTTGCCTTGGTGTGTCCTTATGCGACTTGACTATAAATTCGTCTGTGTATTCGCTTGCACACACATATTCGCCTTTCTGCTTGAAATTCGATTGATGTGCTTGTAGCTTTGTTATCTGAGCTATCTTCTAATGTACTGTAGTCGCCGCATATTATTGCCTTCTGGTTTCAAGCACCGTTAAGATTTATATATTAACGGTTATCAAGGTGATTGATTAACGAAGCTAAGTCACTACAGGATAACTATTGATAACTACGAAGCAATGAACAGTTGTTTCATCCTAGTATGAAACTTTTCAATGGTATCTTTTCACGAACCAATCAGGAATTTTACTCAAGACCTTACAGTGAAAACTAGTCATAAGATCACTATGTCAAGTGGCTTATTTCCTTAACTTCAATTAACTGATGATAATGAGTAATTATCTTTCAAATCCATTAATGATATTTATCTCACAGCTGATATGCTTCCTCTCTATTGGTAATGGTTTCTTACTAGGACTCCGGGAATCATACCTATTTCAACAATGTTTCCAATCAACATGAAACAAATAAATTCTTCTCAACTTAAACTTCAATATACAAATAATATTTATTGAACAAGAACTATTTACCGTAGATTAATTCTTTTCTTTTTATTTTAAGCAACGTATTTATTTAAAAACATAAACATTGGTAAAAGGAGACACCAAATATATATGCGCCACACTTTACCATTCGGTTCGTGTAAAGGCTAGAATACTGCCCGGGCGCCAAAATTGAAGCAGGGTTTTAAGATATGAGTACTAAGTTATTTTCAAAACGAACAATAGTTTAAAAGTGAATAAACTATATTTAATAAAATTAAAATTCTTAAAATCTTACTTTCGTTTCATTAGCCAAGTCGATTTTCGCATTACCTTGTTCTAAATAGTACCATTCTAGATGAGTTAATGCTGATAATAAACATAATTGAGTTTGTGTAGTAACAATATCTAAAGGGCTTTTATTAGTTATACTAAATGCATAATCTGATTCTAATAAATAAAATACTATAGAACATGTCACTTCCACAACAGCTTCATCTTTTGTACCACCCTGAAAGATAAACAAAGTTTTTCTTATAGAAATAAAGAATAACAAAGGTTAAGTTCAAAGATGGAAACAATAGTTTTGATGAGCCTAGTTTCTCATGTTCAATGAAGTATATATATATATATATATATATATATATATATATATATATATATATATATATATATATATATATATATATATATATTAATATTGATTTTTTTAGTAGTGTAAACCGTAAAAACACTGGAGCTGTTGATTTAACGCTACCAGATTCAGACCGATCTCATGTGAGAGTTTGAAGAAATTCAAAAGAGCTGTTTGAATTAATCTGATTGAACTACTGAACAACTCTATCAAGCTGATCCTTTATGAATAAGGTTAAAATTTTATTTTTTTGAAACTCATAGGGGATATTGTGATATCAGGACGAAGAATAAGTGAATAGTAACTGCTAGGATCTATTTATGAATTGCTGTTATAGATATATTCTTATTGTAAAACTATAAAGCAACTATATTACATGTATATTCATATTCATTTTATTATAAGCTTTTAAGTATATCAATGACTATAGCTAGACTTTTTATAACTTTATCAAACAACTATCAAAAATTAGATCCTTTTTAACTTTAAAGTTAAGTTCTCTCAAACAATGGTAAAATATCACTGCACATAAAAAATACAATAGATTCAGTAAGGTTTACGAAAATGTTTATTGTTTTCATTCTAAAACAGATATTGGAAATAATTCCTCTTTGTAACTGTTACATCCTAGCGAAGATTAAATTATGAGTAACTTCTGGGAACTGTTTATGGACTAATATTCTACACATATTCTCATTGTATAACTATTGATTAACTAGATTATATATATTTATATTCCTCTTATTATAAGCTTTTATTTAACCTATTAATTACTATTATACGATTTACTATTCTTAAGTTATTCGCAGTCGTTTGTAACAGTATCTCAGTCACAGCCACTTTTGACCTGATCCTATATAATTGTTATTTTCTGTTTTATGGTATGGTGTGGTCTGGTTTGTTTGTATACAAACCAAATATGTCTGAAATACATGATTCACATAACGGAGGCTGATATTGGTGTTCTGGACTGAACCGACTGGGTTAGGAGAGAAGATACTCCTATCTCGGAGGTCCAATAAGAACTCAGAGTGACTCTAGACTGTTCGTAATAGTTTATGAGTCATTAGTCTGGTCAATAAGTTAGTATTGTAACTGTCGATAAGTCACGTGATATATTCGACGGGCATAAGTGTTATGTTAAAGAGATTATGTGATCACCTAAATCTGCGAACACAACGAAGACTCAGCGACACCATGACCGAATAAGCTAACTATTCCGATGCGTCACAGCTCCGCTAACAAGAGAGAGAAGTCTAGGTTCAGAAGAGGGAAAGTGTATTTCAAGCAGCCAGAAGCACGAACAACAAGCACAGCTTAAGCGTATATATATGGCATAAAAATATCCTTGGGAAATGTTACACATTAACATATTAAAAGAGACAACGAACCAATGATATTTAATATCCTGCCAAGTGGGAAATACGACATGAAGATAGAAATGGAGCGCTATTGGCACGAAAAAAATAAATGCAAATTCCCAAAATAAAATTACAAAATTAAGACATTTACGAGGTGAGTTCTTTGGCAGAAGCGTGTCTACAAATCAGGATGTGTCGATTGTGATGTCTTCCATATTGGAGAATCATCTCGTGAAATCTCGACTCGAGCCAAAGAACACATCAGGTACACAAAGAAACCACTAATTCCATAGAACTGAATAGACTTCAAATTAAATCGGCAATAGCAGTTCACAGCATTTTCAATAACCAGCAAATCGATATCAAAATATTACAAAAAGGCTTTTCCAGCAACAAAGAAAGGAGAGTAGCTGAAGCTTTCCATATGATGCTTAATCCTACTGCTCTCAATAGAAAAGAAGGCTTCACTATCCATCCAACCTGGACTATCTATCCAAGCTACCATGTACGATATTATTCATATTTCACACTATTAGCGTACATATAAATCAAACTCTATCCTTTCTCACCATAAAGGTAACATTTTTTCAACCCTGACCCTCCAGATATACACATACATGTCGCTTATAAATCACCTTGACCGAAATTACACGACATTGACTTGTTCAGACCTCTTTTTGATTGATCGCACCTAATATTCTTGCTTTGTTTCATTGTACTGTTTAAATTTGGATTAATTTTGATTTGGTTATTTATTCTCTGAAGAATTGGCTTATACTGAGTCACGAAACGCCAGAAAATCTAATTTTTCTACTCATTAGGATATTACAAATATACTATGTTTATTTATAACAATCTACCCAATGCTCAATTTATTTGAAATTATCAAGTCAAACCTTAGTAATGGTACCTACAGTTCACATAAAAGTTTAGTTCGGTATGTATTATACCCATTCATTAGCAAATTTATCCCTTTTGAATTTTTTTTTCAAATCGTTACCAGATGGTAAATATGTTAATAGATTCATATGTTAATTATTGTCACTCTCAATTTTTTAAGGAATGAAGATTTGCTATCTGGAAACTAACACGCTATAACTCAGCGATTTAAAGACAACGGTCTTACAGCCAGACTTGAAATCCATAATTTTTTATCAGTCTTTGCAAGGTAGTCAGTGTGCACTATCGAGGAGTCTTAAACGAATACAAAATGACTAACCGGTACTTCCTGGTTTTTAGTAGTTTCTCAACAGTCATTAATTAGTGATTAAAACATTAAACTAATCTTCACAAGCCATTCAAATGAATATTATTATTCTTAGTTGTCAATTATTGTGTCGTTTAAAAGTGTAACAATCCAAGTCATTTCACTATTGTCGTTGGTCAATATACTAAACTATTTAGTTTTCCAGTAATACGTATTGAAATACTAATCCTCTTTGTCATTTGAAGGTTTGAATAAATATGCTGTGATATTTTATCAACTCATTTCTTTATATCTACATATCGACTGGTTGTTGGACTTTTCAAAATAATGATTCACATTAAACTGAAGAATCTGACTGAATAGAATATTAGAGTATAGTTAATACGTGACGACTGTTGAATTTTATAGTCTACACCCTGAATTCATTTTAGTTAGATAGCTATTGGAAAGTGGGTTCCTGAGTTTGACACCGCGTGAAGTTGTAGATAGGCACTAGTAAGAAACAAATACTCAGTGCTTCCTAATTTTCAATGATTATCCACTTACTTACTTACTTTCGCCTGTTACTCCCAATGGAGCATAGGCCGAATGATTATCCAACTAAGGTTAATTCATGTTGTAAATTATTGAAGTATAAATGAAACAGTAAAATTGTATACATAAATACCATTGATTAAAATGTAGACTTTATTCATTATATCTATTTAACTAAACTATATAAAATGGAAAGTGCTTGAGTCATTTATACAATCAACAAATAAAGATTAAAAATTGTATGAATCAGAACAACATTTGCTCATTTATTTATGAATGTGCTTGTTTAACAATGAAGTATAACTAAACTACTTAATTTTAATAAACAAGCCTGAAATCTGAAAAGTAGTTTGTTTTTATTGAAGTTTGTAGAGCTAACAACAATGACAAAATAAAATTCCTTTTAGATTTAATTAATAAAAATGGTAAATGTGTACTTAGATTAAATTGTATGAAAAAGCATAACTGATAAACTATGAAAAAACTTTGAAAATTTCTTACTCAAGTTTGAATAAGCTAAAGTTTGGGAATAAACTCCACGTTGTCAAGTCATCTAAGAGCACTGTGGTCATTAATTACGGTTACGTTTTCGTTTAGCTAATCACTCCATCGTGGATATTTTTGAATAATCTCTATTATATAATTAATTGGAGACATGACATTTGGTGTGTTGTAACTTTTCTGTCATTATAATTAAGTTCACTACACTTAACACACATCCGTAGTGTGATGGATTGGGATTTTCGTCGTAGAAAACTTCATATTTTCCCTGTAAGCCAGCGAAAACGATGGAGAACGAAATACACCCTCCAGTATGGATGACGACAGTGTAAATGATAATTCCCGCTTCAATTTGGTTGGTTGCCAGATGGGGGGGGGGTCAGAATTGCAAACGAGAGTGGACTTTATCTCCACGTATTACATCTCATAATCTTGGTTGGATGATTATCGACTTTTTTTTACCAATCTTAGAATGTTTTTAGAACCTCATATAATATCAAAGTCAACCATAAACCTATAAATATCCTTGTTTTTGTACCTCAATTACTGGGCGATTCGCAAGCGGTTAGAAAGTCAGTATCACAGAGCTCAAGTAAAATAAACACGATAAATATTTCTCAAAAAACAGCTATAAAACGAATAGTCACTCACAGATACAGGTTTAATTTTCACCAGTTGATCATCGAGAGTAATTAAGTGGTAACGATCACATATAGGCAACAGAAATACCCAACCTAGAGGAAAAAGAATTATCAGTAATGATAACGACAACATAATTTGTCAGATTAAATTTATGAATTTATGTAACATGTGCCAGTACATGAGAATAAAGCAATATGATCAGATGCATTGTATAGACTGAAAAAAGCTAGCAGGAGAAAACACTATAGCAAACGTAGTGCATATATCCTTCACATAATGCAGGAGGAAGGGAACATACGTTATCACTTGTAAAAATACAAGTAATCAACTATTGATACAAAATCTGATTGGAAAAATGTTAATTTTCGGAAATCAGTCAATGCTAAAATTGTTAGAAGCATGAAATTCGGCTGAACTTCCAATCAAATCGACGGAAACCCAATTTATTAATCCGTAAGGAAGAAGTCAGCCAATCAATCAGTCAAAAGTTGGTCGAACGCAACAGTAAACAAGAATGAAAAAGCATATTGGGATTAAAATAAATCTATGATAAAGTCAGTCATATAACAGGTTATGAAAAGAAAATCATTTTATACTTGTGGAGTAATTCGGAAGAGGCCATTATTCATTTGAAGTAGGTGCTGACAAACTGTCTAGAACGACAATGGTGTAGCGAACGAGAGATCAGATATAAGAAGTACGTAGTACCACAATGGAGGTTTTGCAATAAAATCAAAAAATTCACGGGATGCAATAACATCAAGAGAATCGAGATAAACTGTTAATCTATATGATTTTGCGTCTATTTGTTGCACCATTATAAATACTAGTACTCTGACAAAAGCAGAGATGAGAAAAGATAAATGGTCAAGTGGTTAAATACTGAGTCACATAAACTACTTGGTTATAACGTAGTAAGAAAGGTAAGTAAAAAGAATAAATGATTTGAACAACAAAGTGAGAAATCACATCAAGTCGTCATATTTTAAAACGGTTTAATAAAAGGAAGGGAATAAAATGATTAAGTGATGTAAAGAACACATACACACAAAATGTTTGACAGTGAAAAACTGAAATCTTTGACAGAAGCAAAACAACGAAGATAAGAACAATCCTAATAGATTGGCGTTTAGGTCAGTTAGTGATCAATATGGGGTGATAAACATAATTTACCAGCCTGTTGGAAAAACCATAGACAACAGTAAGTACAAGAACTAGGTCGATGAAGAAGACAATCTAAATAAACACGTAGACAATGACAGGACGTGCCTCAAAGACAACCCAAATCAGGGTCGACTAATCAGGCTGCTAGTCAAATATGAGGAAATTTGAATAGCCCACTTCTGTTTGAAGCTCGTCTCAATATGCACTAGAAAGATAGTGAAATAGGGATTAAGTAATTGGGTTAAATTGAACACAAGCGTTCTTCAATATGAAAGTTTCACAAATTATTTAAATCTGTCAACAAGCGTTTTATAATTTTTTGAGCATTCTTAACAACTTAGAAATCAAAGGATTCAGTAAATGCATTAAAGTATGTGGTTTATGCAGCATCATTTTACTGATTTTTTAGAAGATTGAAAATATGTCTTTGGGTAGAACGAATCAAGATAGATACAGGTATAGTGCAACAAATTCATGAGATGAAAAACACTATGACTGATGAGTAATTCACGGTTACCACAGCAGTAACGTTGTCCAACGACTAAAACGACGTGAAAAATATCATGCAACTGCAACAAATGAAAATACTTGTATCTTATAAGGAATGGGTAGAACTTGTAGAAATTTCGAAGTGAAGCAAATAATCAACAGGATTTTAATGTGTCCGTGTGTTTCAATAACGACTGGAGTGATTTTGCCATAAATATTTTAGGCCTCTTTATATCTATGCACATCGCTAAGCTGGAATTCCGTCCCTACATTATTTGTTGATAAACACATCATAATGTATGATAATGAAAATATTTATTAACCCTTACATGACCTGTGAAACGACTCCGTTTTTCACCGTAAATTAACTCTCCTTTCAACAATTAAATATAGATTTAAAAAATGCATGTGACAAAAACAATTATGAATAGTAGGATTAACCAGTACTTATGTATTTAAATGTCTTGATTCCCAAATTCACTGTGCAGAATCTCAGAAGTAGAAACAATATTTCATGATAAGACGTGACTACTTAATCAGATTCAGTAGTTAAACGAATAATATTTGAAAACGTTTTGCTCATCTATATCTCATGGAAACTATGAACTGACGAGTGTCAGAACAGTATACAAAATCTTGAAGCACTAGACAGTCGTTTCGTCTTACTGTGGGACTTTCCGGCAGTACATATCCACGGGAGTGCATTCGGGATTCGTACATAGGACCTTCGTTCTCGCACGAACACTTAACGAGCCCCATACTAGGACAAAACGGCCTCGCAGTATTTTCAGGTTTACCATAGTGGTCTAACATTGACCGGTTCATGATTTCAATGAATTCCAACAATCTCTATAACCTCACACTAGAAAGTGTCGATATTTATTGAAATTATGAGTGATTTGTGGTAGTTTTCCGACTTAAAAGGAGCATTCACATTATCAATTTTCGACAAAATTTTCTGAGAAATGTCTAAACATGATTAACTTATTTAAAAAAAGCATCATTATCAAGATTTCACATGATAATTTATTATAATGCTTGGAGTTTCCTTACCTTCCTTAGACGAATTTTTACACTAGATTCTCTTTCAGTGTCTATTCAATAGGACCTCAACACAACTCAGAACAAGAACACGTGATTAGCCTGACTAGAACGTGAATATATTTCCACACAAGAAACCGACAAAATCGATAATAATAAGGGTAAGAGAATATATAACTGACTTAACACCTGTCAGACTATCTAGAAGTCTGACTAAGCAAACAAACAATCACTATCGTCCTCACCCACACATCGTTATTTACTTACTTACGCCTGTTACCTCTCGTCGAGGAGCATAAGCCGCCCAACAGCACTCACCATCAAACCCTGTTCTGGGCAATCCTTTCCAGTTCTTTCCAGTTGTCATTCATCCTTTTCGTATCTGCTTCTATTTCCCGGCGTGATGTGTTCTTTGGCCTTCCTTATTTTCGAATCCCTTCAGGATTACAAGTAAAGGCTTGCCTCATGATGCAGTTTGATGATTTCCTCAATGTATGTTCTATCTACTTCCAACATCTTTTTCTAATTTCCTGTTCAGCTGGAAGCTGGTTTGTTCTCTCTCACAGAAGTTGTTGTTGATAGTATCTGGCTAAAGAATATTGAGTTTCTTGAGTAGAAAACTGTTTACAAATATTTGTACCTTCCTGAGGATGGTTGTAATAGCTGTTCAAGTTTCAGCTCCATATAGTAGGACTGTCTTGACGTTCGTATTGAAGATTCTCACTTTGAAATTAGTTGAGAGTTGTTTTGAGTTCCATATGTTCTTCACTTGTAGAAAGGCGGTCCTTGCCTTGTCAATTCTCGCCTTTGCGTCTGCAACAGATCCTCTCCGTTTATCAATGATACTTCCCAGGTACGTGAAAGATTCCACATCTTCTAGAACGTATTCAGTAGGTGTGATTGAATAGGTGTTCTCTGTATTGTATTTGATGATCTTGCTTTTACCTTTCTGTATGTTGAGGTCTATTGATGCAGAGGCTGTTGCTACATTAGTTGTCTTCATTTGCATTTCTTCGTAAATATGGGATAGGAGGGTCAGGTCATCTACAAAGTTCAAATCTTATAATTGATTCCGAGATGTACATCGTATTCCGTACTTTCTCACCAATTTGCACTGCAGACCGTCGTATGAGTTTAAGATAATGTTGACAATCTTCTCAGGAAATACATAGTGTCGGAGAAGTTTCCATAATGTCCTCCGGTCCACACTGTCAAACATCTCATACTCAATGAAGTTGACGTATAGTGAAAAGTTCCACTCAATTGATTGTTCGACGATGATCCGTAGTGTCGCAATTTGGTCTGTGCACGTTCGATCCTTACGGAATCCAGCCTGTTGATCTCGAAATCAAGCGCCTACTGAGTCTTTCATCCGGTTCAACAACGCTCCATTGAAAACCTTTCCTGGTACTGACAACAAACTGATGCCTCTGTAATTCTCACATTTGCTCAGATCTCCTTTCTTTGGTATCTTCATGAGGTATCCTTCCTTCCAGTATGTCAGTGCCACTTGTTCCTTCTCCTAAATCTTCTTGAATAAAACGTGGAGCATGTTCGCAGTTACTTCAATGTCTGACTTCAGTACTTCAGCTGGTATATTGTCAGGTCCTGCCGCTTTCCCGCTCTTGATTTGTCTGATGACCGTCTTGATTTCTTCGATCGTTGATGGGGTGACATCTATACGAAGGTCTGTGTGTGCTGAATACATGTCTGGTGGAGTTAATGGGGTTGGTCTATTGAACAGTTCCACTAAGTATTCCGCCCATTGTTTCGTCTGTTCTTCAATTTCCTTCTTTGTCCTTGACTGGTCTCTCCGGTTTGCTACATCTCCCTGCTGGTTTCTTCGTTGTAGCATATAGTTGTTTCATATTCCCTTCTTCTGCAGATTTTCTCACTGTCGTTGCTATTTCTCCCATGTATTTCTGCTTGCCGGTTTTAATGCTCTTCTTCACTCGCCTGTTTGCTTCTGCGTACTCTGCTTGTCCCTTGACTTTCTCTGCTCGTGTTCGACTGTCGTTAATTTCTGTCCTCTTATCCCTCCTTTCTTCAATCTTGTCCAGGGTTCCCATAGAGATCCATTTCTTATTATGATGCTTATTGCGACCCAGAACCTCCTGACACGTTGAATTTAGTGCCTCTTTGATCCCTATCCAGTTGTCCTCCTTCGTAGTTTCTTGCTCTTTCAGTAAGTTATGTAAAGCTCGGAACCTGTTGTTGAGAGTTATCTTGAATTGGTTGATTTCGTTAGTATCGCGAATGAATGCTGTATTGAACGTTGTAGTGCTGTTTCCTCAGTTGTTCTTGGCTTCTTTGTCCATCCCGACTTTGGCATTTAGATCTCCTATCAGAATTGTCAGGCCCTCTCCTGGGCACTTCTCTATGATCGATTGCAGCCTCTCGTAAAACTGATCTTTATCTTCGTCATTACTATGATTGGTGGGTGCATAACACTGAAAAACATTCATCGTGATCTCCTCTTTCTTTGTTTTCAATGATGCTCTGATAATTCTGGATCCGTGAGGTTCCCATCCTACAAACGCATTTCGTGCTTCTCTAGACAGTATTAGAGCAACTCCCTGGAGCATTTTCCCCATCGCGACCGGTAGCTCCTCTGGGGGTTGCTGCCGGTCCCAAGCCCGGGTAAAGGAGGAGGGTTGGGCATGGGGTTAGCCACCCCATCCCGTAGAAAATCAACTCGCTAAAAAAACGCTAACCAGGAAAAATCATTCAAACCATTATAACTCTGGCCTGGGAGTAGAAGGAATAATTATGACGTCTCATGATGAAAGCCGAGTTCATTCGGAAGTCATGAGGCCGATGCACCTTCTTACAACCAGAGCAACAATTTTTATAGGTACATGGAATGTCTGGACAATGTGGGAGACCGGAAGAGTCTTCCAAATTGCTGCAGAAATGAGAAAATACAACCTGGAGCTGCTTGGAAGAAGTGAAACGCATTGGACACAGGTTGGACAACAACGACTGTCTTCAGGAGAACTTCTGTTTTACTCCGGTCATGAAGAAGAAAATGCCCCACATACACAAGGAGTTGCATTGATGCTGTCCAGAAAAGCACAAAATGCACTTATAGGATGGGAATCTCATGTACCAAGGATCATCAAAACTTCCTTCAAAACAAAGAGAGAGGGCATTACAATGAACGTCATCCAATGCTATGCGCCGACCAACGACTACGATGGAGACGCTAAAGACCAATTCTACGATAGGCTGCAGTCGATCTTCGAGAAGTGCCCAACCAAGGACCTGACCATTCTGATGGGAGATCTCAATGCCAAGGTTGGAAAGGACAACACTGGATACGAAGACGTCATGGGACAACATGGACTGCGAGAAAGGTACGAAAATGGTGAGAGATTCGCAAACCTATGTGCCTTCAATAAACTGGTCATAGGTGGCACCATATTCCCACACAAAAACATACACAAAGCCACTTGGATTTCACCGGATCACACTACACAGAATCAAATCGACCATATCTGCATCAACAAAACGTTCAGGAGGACGATGGAGGATGTGAGAACCAGAAGAGGAGCTGATATAGCATCCGATCATCATTTGCTGGTCGCCAAGATGAAACTAAAACTCGAGAAGCACTGGACAATGAACAAGAACTGGATAGAACTAGAAAAGAAGGCCCAGGACAGAGTGGGTTGGAGAATGCTGGTCGGCGGCTTATGCTCCATTGGGAGTAACAGGCGAAAGTAAGTAAGTAAGACCGGATACAAAAGCATCTCTTCCGTATCTAGCCTTTGCTGTCCAGGTTGGGCCCTATGGGTTTCGCTGATTCCGAGTACTGCCAAGTTGTATCTCCTCATTTCTATTGCTATTTGACTGGTAATTCCGGTCTCCCGCATTGTCCGGAAGTTCCATATACCTATCAAAATTGATGTTCTAGTTGTTAGAAGGAGCATCGGCCTCGTGACTTCCGAAGAATCTCAGCTTTCAACATGAGGCGTTACAATTCTTTCAGGGTAGAGTTTAAGTGGTTTAATTTCTTTAATCTGGTTAGCGTTTTTTAACACCATTTATTTCTACGGGGCGGGGTCGCCGACCCTCATCCTTTACCGGGGCTTGGGACCGGCAGTAACTCTAGAAGAGCTAAAGGTGGATTTCCACACACCATAATTTCAAATAAATTAAGAATCTACAACAATCGAATCAACAACAGCAGTACTTGTTGTATTCAACAACCATCAAATCGATATAGACAAACATTCATATCATCCGAAAAAAAGGTTTATTTAACTATAAAGAATGGTGAACAATTTATGCATTGTTTAGTACTAGTGTGTTCAAAAGAAAAAAAGAGTTACTAATTATCTGATCGAATTGTATCGTATATCTCACAGTTACATTTAATCAAATGATATGACAGCAAGAATTAAGCCTGATAGCTAGACATTGATTTCACTAGAGATTGAATGACTTACGGTTCTCATTTGCTAAATTCATTCTTTTATACACAAATCAGTTAATTTTTTAGACGATAATACCTCCTCAGCTGGGCGGTTGTCCGGCCCACTAATAACTTTATAGTTGGAGACTTACATCGATAATTCTGTCCTATCAGTATCCACAACTCAGTCATATTGTATCCTTGCATTCTATTCATTCACTTTAACTATTGCAAACCTTTTAAATCCGTTACCATATCACTTGTTTGAGATTAAATCGCAAGTACAAGTGCAGATTAAATTTTAATGATCACATTCACATTTGCCATAAATACATCAATATGCATAAAACGTGCCTCATATATAATCACATTTCCACCAAATGAGATAAGATTAGCATAATCAGATTTGTTTACTTGTGCTAATTATTTGACGTACATTTGATAAATGTATTAATGTAGAGCCACGGTGAAAAACTGACTGAAAAGAAATCTCCTCATTTTAATTGTCTTTTTAATTGAATGGATATGAATTTACAGTTCACTTTAATGAAAATCAGTAAATACTCATTATTATTTGACGTAGCAGTGATAGTTGAGTTTGGAAAATCTCAGTTACTACATCACTACTAAATAGACAACCACAACTCTCTAGTGATCAAACTATGACACGTGACAGATAATTAGGATTTATCTATTACACTATAATCGAGTGGTTGATAGAAATGAGACTGTTTACATACATATCAACCTGCTAACTAGGTTGATACATCTTCATAACAAATAGTAAACTGGACTGTACTTAAACGAAGTATGAATGGATTCGATTAGCCGACTATGCTATCTGATAAGAGTATGATGATTACAAATCGTTTCAAATACTTATATCATTAGTTTTATAAAAAAGATGTGACTCGTCAGCTGGATGCAGTGAATCCTAGTGTTGATATTCACAATGGGACTAGAATCGTGTACTTTTTACTTCAAATGACAATGTTTCATCTATTGGAATAGAGCCCAGATGGCCACTGACTTGTTTGGTGCGTATGGTGTTCAAAATAATATTGTTGAGAGTTTGAGTTAGCTGGGTGTTGACTAAATTTTGATTAGCTTATTCTGACATATGTGTATCGTTTCGATATAGTGAATTTGTCCTGGATTCCACTGCTAACCATAACACTTACGAAAAATGGTGACGACGCAATCCAATCAGAATACACATACCAAGAGAGACTTAAAAAATTTAGTCTTGAATACTAACAACGGGATAATTCAAACCTTTACTAATAAGGTTTGAATCAACATTGAAAAAAACTATATTTAACGTACCAGGTCCTTTAGATTTCAGTCGTTTCCCAAGTCGAAATACAATGATTCGTTCACTTTTCGTAAGATGCTAATAACAAAAAAAAACGTCGTACTTTATAGAGCAAATTAATTTCAGTTTATTTTATAATACGACTTTATACTGAATCATAAAATTTCAGTAAAATATAAACAAGTGTAAGGGTAGACTCTTCCTTATTCTATGCACTCTTTAGTTAAGAAATTAAAACTCAATCAACAAAAATGACATATGATTAGCAATATAGATGAAAGACTTTTATATGTTGGATTAATTCAAATCTATTCACAATCATCTCAACAGTACACCTCTCGTCTGTACATTTATCTAAGGGGAATACTAATGTAACGACCTATTTGGAAAGGAAGGAAACTAGAAAGCCTGTAGTAAACCAGCTATTAAACTACGAAACAAAAGTGATGATGATTGATAACTTGTTGATACCCTGGATATTAATAATAACCACGTATGATACAATAAAAGATGGGGACAGGTAAATAAGCAACGTACAATACAAACTATTTTATTATATATACTACTCTAGAGAGTATGTCTGTCTGTACTAACTAGTCAATCACAGGTTAATTTGACCAAATATATCAAGTGTTTTAATACACGTTTATGTACTAAGCTCCAAATCACATATTTTGTGCAAAAATAGAAGTACTACTCAGTAAATCAAAGTAAACAGCCAGAATCTAAACATAAAAATCAATAGTTGAAAAATAAGGGCTAAAACTACTTATAGTACCAACTGTCACACCTACATTTTGATCCAATAGATCCAATTATGCTATATTTATTGTCATAATATATTTTAGTATAAAATATTTTTATACTTATAACTTCAACTTTTCAATATATATGTACGTGCGTGTTTACACATACTTGGAATACGAACACGGTAAATGTTGCATAGATGATATGAAAACATTGAATATGACTAGTTATACGAGAAAATTAAAAAAACCAACCAAGGACATCAACAAAAACCTAAAAGTTCTTAGTATATTCGGTTCGTGTATAACGGTGGGATCAAGGACCTTCGATTCATCGCATTTGGTAACCATCAGTCAAATGCACCGGCATTCCAATGCTGAGTTTAATGTTGAAACTGAAACTCAGTGCCTTTCATCGCTTCAACTTCTAAATGTGTTGTCCACTAAGATAATGAGTCCAGATAACCACCAACCTTTTATTATTCAACGAGTATATCAACAATGGGAAATTACAATTCTTTACTAATAACTTACAACTTCACTTTATATATTCACTAGTTTATATTTATATAATAAATTAGGCTATATTCACATCACAGACTTAAGTATAGGGAAACTAACGTTCTTTCCCTACCTTGTTATTATGATCTAAATCAAATTCTTAATTTTATATAGAATATAGTAGGTCATTCGATTAATCTGTTAGTAAAGATTTGATTCATTTAAACATAGATATCACAAACAATGGTGTAATTTGAATATCCACCCAAAATTACAGCATATTTACAAAATCTATTTTGGTCTTGGGATCAAAATGACCAAATACATACTTATTATACTAACATTTATTAAAGTACGAGAACTGTTAAGCAAGTTTATAGTTTTAGAAGACCGATTAGTTTGAAAATGAAAGATGATACAAGAAAACAGCTAAACCGAAAATACTAAGAACGAAAGTTCTCATGTAAACTGAAAATAGTTTGTATTATAATACACCATATAAAAAGATCTGTAATCAACTCACCTTCACATAAAACCAACACAAGAATGGAAAGAATACAATTAATAATAAAGCTGATAGGACAAGGAATGAATAATGTAATCGATTGTTCACATTTTTGGAATATCCAGTATCCATAAAATCAAAAATGTCTAATTGACAATCTATAACTATAATTTTAAAAAATGAAAAAATGAATACGAAGTGATGATCAGAAATATCTTACAAATCATCTTTAGTAATTTAAGCGAATTCTCTATATTGGTATATGCCAGTTATAACAAATTTCGTGGTTTACAACACAAACTGATCTTAGACAACCATAGAAAACCAGGGAGCAATGGACAGGTGTTTCTTACAAATATTGAATTCCTCAGAAGAGCGCATTCACGATTTGGACGAAGTTTGGACTCAACATTTAGATCTCATGAAGGCCGATCAACCTTCAGCCATTACTCAATGGTTGACATATTTAACTTACTAGTGGCTGACCTTGAGGGACAAGTGAAATTCTAGTGAAAACCCGTGACTGTCAGAGGTCAGCTTTGTTTGGAATTTAATAAATATTACTAACGGCAATGGATGATCGTTGCACATCACCACCAATTGACTAGAGTTATAAATATGAACCACTGAATCCCAATCCAGTGATTTAAACTTCAAGTGTTCACTGCGATACCTGAAGGTCCTTGGTTCAATTCCCGTTGTGATCTTGAGTAATCACTGTTGGGGAGTTTCGTAATGACGAGAACAACCGCCTAGTACCTCCTGATCTTCACTGGTTGTCTAACTAGGATCAGCAAATTTAACGACACTATACAATAAATTATGGCGAAAAATATAAGAGTTGTCGAACAAATTATGCAGACAGGCAATAGACGAATGAAGGATCTTATATACATCAACTATTCTATTTATGTCGGTAAACGTCAATTTATCGTCATAGTTTGTAAGTCATGAAAAGCTACGAGAACTAATAATAGTTGATAGACACATCGAGAAAGAAGTAAATGTATCTAGCTTCATACCCCACTATACAAATAGATTCATTTAATTTCAACCATGATTAAACAAACTATATGATTTCAGAACTTAAACACGAAAACCGATTTTTTTTAAAAACCAAACCTAGTTCACGAACTAGGCATGACGAAACAAACAAGTCTTGGCACTTTAAGTTGATGTTTGATTAAAGTATTGCACTGACCACAGTCAATAAACAAGTGCAAGCAGAGATTTAAAAAATAACATGCATTTCATATCATATAATTTGTTTATATATCCTGGTGCCGAGTCTCAATATTCAAAGTAGTTGGATTAATAGGTTTGATAATCACAGATCTGATTACTTTGTATAACTCTTTTTATCAAGAACGTCCACAAATTTAATCGTAAATTGCACTATGAGAAGATAATATTAATTATTCAAAATGAAAAAATAATTTTGAATAGAAAGTGTTAATCAAATATAATTCAGGTTAGTAACCATGTATAGTTTTAAAAAAGTTCGATGTGTGCATTTTTGGTCAATTAAATAGTCAGCTACAACATAGGACCAGACACATATATGCATTGGTCCAAGTTGCGACACCTACCTCATTAGCATAACAAGATGAACACCAAATTAATAGCAGTTACTTTAACGGTAGTTATATATATATAAAGTTTGTGTATAAGGATATAATACAGGGAGAAAGAATTAGTTCGTAGAAAGAACGGTATAAAGCAATTTTAATCTCACGGTCTAAGGAGAAACAAAGTGTATATACATCTGCGCCATTGTGATAGACTCTGAGCCATGTCACCCAGAATCTCTAACCACTGGTTACGATAGTCTATACGCTGCACTTTATTCAAACAACTTACTATTTGTAACAGGATCCGAGTAGGTGAAAATTGTTTTGTAGTTATTACTAGTATCTTGATCGACAGACTTGGTTTGGGAAAAATTAAAAGCTGTACTAAAATTGAATGTTTGTGTCTGACCGTCTAGACCATTGAGACGGATTAAATCTGACGGCTTTGTAAATTCGATTTGTTTAACATTACAGTCCGTTTCATAACTGAATTTGTACCCAGGTTGAACGAAAGAACCTGAAGAACTAATATCTTCAGATTTATGACGAATTAAAGGCCATTTGAAGTGAATCTTTGAATGACGGTCACAAAACTTGTCGTCATTGTTGATCAAATGAGAATCATATGACAACTTGGTATTTAACTCCCTCTAAAAAAGTTAGAAACAGTAAAACTTCTTAAGCTTCTTGAATAAAATAATATTCCAGAGTTTAATAATTAGTTCACACACGATTGTTTAGATTACCAATACTGTTTCAACTGCATTCATTCAAACGCCGAAACTGTTCAATGTATCTCATACATCTAAGTTGTTATTTAAGAGATCATCAAGTTCGACAATGCAGTGTTGCAAGATGTGAGATTAACATATTCATCATATACAAAAACAAAACTTCTGTAATATTGTAATCTACATAAATGTAAGTTAGTGTCCGAAAACTCATCTATTTACTAATGTGTACAGGGTATACCAGTAACTGTCTCCTTAATAAAATCCTTTGGCTATGTACTGAGTGAAGACCACCTACAAAGTATACGATGCAATGATAAATGGAAATGTAATATTTGAAACTTGGCCGATTGATAAATACACAACACTAACCTATCGATTTTTATAGGTACGCTAGGCGAATCTTAACTTCCACAATGTTGGAAGCTAGAAGTATAATTCATCATAGTTCATTTAAGAGAGGACGTCAAACTTTATCAAAATAAAAATTCCAAAGCCTCATAAAATTCATGTTCTTTTTATAACAATCGCAAACAATCCTACAATGAAAAGCCCCATTACCGCCATTTTGAAACCAAGGTGCTAATTCCATTAAGGATACTCTAATATCTGAATTCTACATCAAATAAAGTAACAAGTGTTACTGACCAAAGATACACCACAGCGAGTTATGTCGTTACAAAATCTTACAGTCTAACGAAAACTTGGAAAAAACGCAGAAAGTTCAGTTGACTCTTGACAATTTACGTCAATTATGCAGCAAGCGAGATATATACCAGTCAACTAAAAAACAAGTATACTACTCAACAGTTTGCTCCATCTTCCCTTGTGACTTTGAAACTTAGCCTTTAAAAAGTGCATATTTACAGGTTACTAGTATTCAGTCCCAAATACCTTCGAATCATTGCTCATATATGTTGGTAGTATTGTATCAACAATTCTGGGGTTAGATGCAGAGTACTAAATAAGGATGAGTAACCCCTCTTGATGAAGTAGTGAATCTATATCGACTGAGATGGTAAGGACATGTGTGACGTATATTCAACCACCTTCTACCACGATATGTGATGTTGACTGGTTTAGGAGTACGTCAGATCAAGGTTAGGGGCGTTCAACACAAAACATGACATCAGTTCATAAAGACACGGAGTTAGACCGAGTCAAGTAGGTACGTGCAGAATACTTGAGGTTTGGGTAATTGCCAAAAGCGTTGATTAGAGACTTTGAGTGAAATGACTTATAAGGGTTTTTAATCATTTAAGTGTTTGAGCTACTATGGCTGTTTTTTATCATAACTGCTTTCAGGAACCTATTTAAACACAATGCCACTAATGAACAGTTTTGAAGTTCATCAGTGTGCTTTGGACAGGTTGAAAATGACAACTTGGTAGAATTCTAAAGCGAAATTTGTTGCCAGGGTACACTGTATACATGTAATCACAACAATTTTTTATTGAGCTTGACAGGATAACCCTTGAATTGGATAGAAAAAGTAGCGAGTTAGCTAGTATACGTCGTAACGACGTAAAATAACTGATTAATACATTCGATATTTTACTTTTAGATATAAGCATTCAGAACATTTAATCCTCTGCATTGATAATGAGATACATAGGCCTGGTTGGCAAGCGAAAGTGTGCTCTGCAGTAACTATGATTTCAAACATATTTACCAAAGAATAGCAAAAAGCGACATCGAAAAATGTTCGGCCACTTAGTGTAGACAAAATTGGTGTCAGTAACATAACGAGAAAAATTACTGCAAGTTAAAAAATTAAACAGACTGCGCGCTCTTTAAAAAGGAAAGTGATATTTTTCCTCTCAGTATATTTTATAGTAATGATAATCAAATTACGCATCAAGACTACTGTTTTTGCTTTAAGTGAAATTATTTCAGTTAAAACAATCTCCAAGAGTACCGCTTTTTTCTAGAGAAGTTTATCATCTGTACTTTTTGAGTACAGATACAAAAGACTAAGGGCAATGGTATTTATTTTTCCTCGTCGAGTATATTTTTTAATATTGTTTGCATCCACAGGTGTTAAGGTCTTTTGTAACTACTGAAGTCAGATTTTCTTTAATGTTGTTAGGTACAGTTATATACAAACCTCTGTTTTTGTTTGTGTTCAGTGTCCATCACCTATCAAGCCCTTAAAGAGACACTTTATCTAGAGATCAGTTTTCGCTGAGATCACAAACAAACTTATGATGCAAGTAAAACATCGTTGTGGCAGACCTGCATGCTATTTCCTTGTTGATGAATACAATGTGACAAATGCAATAAGTGGTATCAAAATGTGTGCACCGGACTCACACCAGCTGCATATAAAAGGTGCTGCAAGCCATTATCACGTTGGCTGTGCAAAGCATGTTTTTCTACAAAGTCTCTGCTGATTCTAGTGGCAATTGACTTACTGAACATAGTAGAAAATTGTCCCCAGATAAACAGGAAGCAGTAGATGAGCGGAATTTCGCTTTCGAAGAAATAGAGAGCGTTGTCATGGAATCGAATTGCGGGGAAGAGACGATTTCAGGAACTGAAATTCCACAGCGTGTTAAGGCGGACCTCGCTGATAGGTCAATCATTTTTCCTAAGTTAAGAGAATCTTCTGAAAAGGAACCAAAGGCTAGATTCTAGCACAACCTCAGTCACATTAAGTCCTCAATAAGCAAGCTACTCCAAAAAATAGTATCAGGAGTTAGTATCTGTAAGCTTTATAGAATAGGACAAAAGGTGGGTTCTGAAAGTACTCAGTAAAGCCGCCTCTCAAAGATTACATTTGCTTCGGTTGAAGAAAAAAACCTGATACTGGAAACTCGCCCAAACTGATTGAATCTGGAATATACTTTCCTGAGGATTTTAGCCTGGTCGACCATATTAGGAGACGAGCTGCAAAAGTTGAAATAAATGAGCGCCGCCGAAACCGTGAAAGAAACCTCGTACTTCAGGGTTTTCAAATTGTAAACGTTCGGGGCAAAACGATTTCCAAACAACTCTGGGTGGCAAGGGAAAGTTCTACGAGGATGATGGGATGCCAATCACTAACATCTCTCTACGTCTTCGACTATGGGCGGAATTTTTCGAAGGGCAACAACATCAACCAGTTTGTCCTGCCCCCCCCCCATGGCCCGTGACGACTGATCTACCAAACGAGGCCGAAGTCCGCAAGGAACTCCGACTCTTGAAACGTTACAAATCACCGGGCCCAGATGACTTACCTCCGGCTCTTTTTAAAGATGGCAGTGACTTTCTGGCTTAGGAACTGACTGTGTTGTTTGCAAAGGTTTGGGAGCAAGAAAGTGTTCCAACATCATGGAATGAGTCGATAGTCGTCCCTATCTTTAAAAAGGGTTCACGTTATTCCTGTAATAACTATATGGGGGATAATTCTGCTTCCGATTGCGTCCAAACTATTGGCTTCTGTCATTTTTCGTAGATTGTTTAAAACTCGAGAACGATTGACTCGCGAGGAGCAGGCTGGTCTTCATTCTGGTCGAGGATGCATTGATCACATCTTCACCCTCCGCCAAATGTTAGAACACCGCCATACGTATCGCAGGTCAACAATCGTAGTGTTTCTTGATATCAGGTCTGCCTTCGATTCGTTGGACAGGACTGTTCTCTGGGATTGTCTATTGAAGAAGGGTGTGCCTGAGAAGTTCATTAAAATCTTGAAGGCCCTGTATACGAACACCTCAGGCAGAGTGAGGGCATACAACCACCTTTCTCCCTTGTTCTATTCGAGCAGTGGGCTTAGGCAGGGTTGCCCAATCTCACCATTCCTCTTCAACTTTGCCATCGACGACATTCTGGAAACAGCTCTGATGGATGTAAGTAATGGCGGTGTGGATATGTTGTCTGGAGAACGACTTCTCGACCTTGGGTATGCGGATGATATTGTCTTACTATTCGATAATGCCCAAGGCATGCAATCCGCACTTAATCAGTTGGCAATCAGTGTCCGCAGGTACGGCATGTGCTTTGCACCCTCCAAGTGCAAAGTACTCCTACAAGACTGGTAGGATTATCATTCTGTACTCACCCTAGATGGTGAGCAGATTGAAGTAGTTGAGAAGTTCGTGTATCTAGGTAGCTACATAAGTGATGGTGGTGTCGTGAGTGATGAGATTAATGCACGTATAATGAAAGCCAGAGCGGCTTATGCTAATCTGGGCCACCTTTGGCGCCTTTATGATGTTATTTTGGCTGTAAAAGGTCGGATCTACAACGCGTCGGTGAGAGCAGTTTTGCTCTATGCTTGTGAAACCTGGCCTCTCCGAGTTGAGGATGTTAGACGTCTCTCTGTGTTCGATCATCGTTGTCTCCGAAGGATTGCTGACATCCAGTGGCAACACCATGTTAGTAATGCAGAGGTTCGGCATCGTGTGTTCGGGCGCAGAGACGATAATTCAATTGGTGTCACCATCTTGAAACACCGACTTCGGTGGCTTGAACATGTTTTACGAATGTCGTCCCAGAGACTTCCACGTCGTGCATTATTTGCCGACTCTGGGACTGGTTGGAAAAGGCGGAGAGGAGGTCAGTGTATGACATGGTGTCGTGGCATGAAAGAAAGCTGCAAAGGGCTAGCTTCTGTTGGACCTTCACGACTCCCTGGCTGGGGTCCGAGAGATGGTGCAACACAGTGGCTAGAGACGTTATCAGATATGGCTCAGAATAGAAGCCAGTGGCGATCCTGCTACAACCTTCTTTTACTTTCTACATAAAGAATGGTTCTAACTTTCTCAACTGAGAGAACTCTTCTGGTTGTACATTTCAGTTCCCCCCATTATTTCTCTTTTTTTCTTTCTTTTATATATACACATATTCCTTCTCCTCCCATTCTCATTATTTTGTGTAGCGCATATGTATCCGGTGCCCTTTGTACCAATATATATGTGATTAAATACAAAGATAAA